GGGGGAAGGGGGGAGGGGAAAAGGGATCACTGGGATTATTTAGGGCTGGGAGTGGGTGGGGTTATTATGAAAATTTTCACAAGAATATTTGAGCCGCACAGCACTTTTATACAAAACTTTTTCTTAGAAAAACGACAAAGAGGCGATTATTTTTCTACGCAACAACAGAGAGTGGGGGAATAGATTACTTAAATGGGTTACCAATTGAATCACACCGTCCCGCCCTCCAATAAAAATGAACGTTTCCTAACACAATGGCAACGTATTCATCACCTCTCTGCCCCTCTCTTTCTTGTGCCGAGTGACGCCTTTGGTCGGTCTCATGGTTATAAGTCTTCATGGTATAGAGGAAAATCAAGACCTCTCACTCTTAAAACTACTCTTTACTCAATCAAGATCACCCATCATTGATATCACCACCATGTACAACCACTAAAAAAATTAATCGACCGAAAAACTAAAATTAAAATTTTAAAAAGGAAAAACAAAAGAAAAAAAAAAGAATAACAGCTATATTTTTACAAGAGCAGCATATAACAGTTTACACCGCGCGTGAAAAAGTTGGCAACCATACTGACGTTTCTGGAGTTAGTCCTTCGCAATTTGTCTGAGTTAAAAAAGTGGGTGGGGTGGAGTTAATGTACGGGAATGATAAAAGTGTAAAGTGTAGTTTTTACTGTCCGACCGAAGAAAATGTGCTAGAAAAACTTAGGAAACATAAACCTACATATAATTAAAAAAATATTGACGTGAACCGCTTTTAATGGAAAGCTTTTTGCTGTTCGACGTTTGAATAATTCTTTCGAGATATGTTTGCCGCGCAGAGTTAGACTAAGAAAAACCAATTTATTCGCATTATTTAGTGCGAATGAAGGGAGAGACAAGAAGCTAACCCTATAGAGAATATATCCTGAGATCAAATTGGGATTTAGGAATGTCGATTTTTGCGGAGGGAGGAAAACTGGAAAACCCCGAGAAAAATCATCCTCGAGGCACTAAGGAGAGAACGAATAACATACTCAATTCCAACCGGACACCGAGTGCGGGAATTGAATTCGTGTCGCAGTGTTGAGAAGGGAGCGTTCTCACCGAGCCACTCCTTTTTCCCATCGTTTTTTTTTTTTAATATTTTCTTGATCCCACAATTAACAATTTTCGGGAATCTGATTACTTGAATTGAAAAAGCCATAAAGTAAAAGTAATTTGAACTACCCATAACTCAATTGGAACAGCCGGCAACGAATGGAAAATTTACACTAAAGATTAGGTTGTCTTTTGAATAACAAAATAACTGGGAAATTCTCGATCGCTCTTTGAGAAGAGCATGCATGTCGAAGTAACACCTTTTGATATAAAAGGGAATGAAGAAAAACTACAGAATTCAAAAAAACCTCTTACCTTGTCTTGGTTTTTGACTCTTCAAGCCACTGATTTTCCATGCTTATCGTCAGCTCTGCATATAGCCTGACAAATGCATTCCACCCTCGGCTTTTAAAGGTTTGAACACAGTCACATAAGGAGGCAACATCAAAAGGTTACCATTGGTAATCATGACGTCAACACAAAGAATTCCTACGTGCGAATCAACATAGAAACCAGTCAATATTTTGACAATCCGCCTTAGCAACGGATTAATTTCTCAAGCGTAAAATTATTGGAAGCGATTAGTTAGAGACTATAGCAAAGCCTAGAACCTCTCTTAATTTATAATAGAAATGTCGACACGACGACCGGAATAAGTCGAATCGTTACACGTTTAAGGTAAGGCACATGCCTGTACAAGTGAACTAACCTTATTCGTACTGCGCATGCTCGACGAAAGTATGCGCAATAAAAAATAACACACTAGGAACGAGATTGGAGCCATGCTTTCACGCTATCTGATGGCTAAACGAAGTTGGTGACCACCATTTGTTATTTGCTCATTACACTTTAGTATCATGTAATTTGATTATGCAAAAACATTTTAAGAGTCTGACGATGCGATCAGTTTGCCCATCAACCTTCTTAAATGATAATATTTTAGTATTGATTTCTAACACAAGTTTGCCTGTAAATATAATATAATGGCTAGTTTTTCAAAACGCATCCCACATGGAAAGGAGTGGCCACGGAAGTTTTAAATGAAGTTATAATTTTTATATGACACTACTCCTCAGGTAAAGAGTTAAATTTTTCCATAGCCATTACATGAAGTAATCGGCTTTTGCTTTCTCCTCCCTGCACGGCAGCCTCTACGAGTAGGTTTGCATCTCGAAATACCAACTTTTATTTCCCAATACCCAACAAGTAGAAAACTCACCGCCTTTTTCAGATTTGATTTTTTTTATTGTCTGATAGGTTAGTTAAATTAATTGCAATTGCAACTCCGTCTCGAAAACAAATAATAATTTCAATAAAGTTCAATAAATATTCTCGAGAAGTGTTTGTTAATAGTTTTATTTGGGGCTTTTATAGATAGATACTATTCAACTCCTCTTTGTTGTTCTTCCTGCCCTCTTCTTTGCTCTTCTCCTAATATAATCGTCGATCTTCCCATGCCTAATCTAATTTATATTAATTCTATCTGTGTTAAATTACATTTAAGAGAAGGTTTTTAAAAATACAATGTATAAGACAATTTAAAAGTCTAAAACACGTTTCGATGCAATCCATGACATTAGCTTATCGGTAAAATTAATTCATTGTTATAATATGTCGTTTACATTTTTTCACAGTTTCTAATGAATTATTTTTTTCTTCTGTGTACTCGCATGTGCCTGCTAAGATTTCCAGATTGCGAGAACCTCATTTGACAGACTTTGCACTGGTACGGTTTTTCCCCGGTATGGATTCGTAGATGTTTAGTCAGCGTGGAGCTGTCGGCGAACCCTCGGGAACAGACTTTGCATTTGTACGGTCGCTCACCGCTGTGAATGCGCATGTGCGTGGTGACAGAAGACGACTGCGCGAACCTGATAGGAAAATAAAAATAAAAATGAATAAAAGGCAAGAAGGAAGGAAGGAAGGAAGGAAGGAAGGAAGGAAGGAAGGAAGGAAGGAGAGAGAATAAGGATTTCGTGTTACTTTCATACTCACCTGCGCTGACATATTTGACATCTAAATGGCTTTTCCTTGGAATGTACGCGCAAGTGAGCCTTCAGGTTGGCATCTTGAGAAAAGGACTTGTCACAAATGGAACATTGAAATGGCTTTTCTCCCGTGTGTATGCGCATGTGCGCTTTAAGTGTCGAGGGTCGAGAGTAGACCTTATGACAAAGAGAGCAAGTGGTGCTCAGATCCTGAGGACAAATAATAACCTCAGCATTGGTTGGAACATTTGTGACAAGTTTCAAAGAAAGTGTAGTTATCACGGCCTTACCTTGTCTATATCGTCATCGTTGTCCTCTTCAAAACTGTCTTCGTTTGATACAAAACCATTATCATTGCTAGTGTGTGTCCCTTTTCTGCTCATCTCGTCTTGTTCCTCCTGCCAGAAGAGATGTGCAAGACAAACACGTCAAACTGAAATCTATCAAGCTGAGGAAAATCGCTTCGAAGTCTCTCCACGAAGATAGTTCTCCTTGATTCGATTAGAATTGGTTTTACTTAAGAAATCGACAAAAATTAAGACTTTTACTGAACTACCGGGCTTACTAGGGGGTACTCGATTGTCAGTCATGCATGCTAAAGCTTGGACTGGAATTCGACGGAATTTGAGTCTGGTCTTCAAATTCGATATTTTCTATGATTTTCATTTTATGACACACTTATACCAGTATACAATGTCCTCATGGTATATCAGTTTCAAGCTATTAATGTGATCAGCTTGGCTAATGCACCTCAATGATATCTAAAACCACTTACGTCACAACCGTTGCCAAGGTGATATCCATTGCTTTGCTTGTCATTTGCTCCATTTTTTACGTGATTGCGAGGCGAGGAACAAGAAGGACTAGAATCAATCGTTCTATTTTGAGACCCTTTTAGCCTCGCCTCAGAGGACGTCTTGAGTGACAGAAGAATGGTTGCAGCTTTGAACCAACTGGGGTCCGGTGCTTCGTCCTCGGAGCTAAGCAACATAACAGAAAATTTTTAAATTATATTCATTAGTTGTTCGGAACTGTTTTACCATCCGTTTTAAGGGGATTTTTAAAATTAATCTATTTCGGCAAGCAATAGAGGCGTGGGGAAACTTAAAGGATCTTAGAATAAGACTTACTACACGCATGCGCAAAGCTTTCATCTTTAGAAAAAAAGCCGGCTTTTTTTCCCAAAAGATGTTTTCATTAGAAAATTTTCAAATCCAAAATTCATAAACCCATTTTTTAAACTAAGAATTTTAATTGGAAAGCTAGCGTATTGTGAAAATGTAAGAAAATGACGTGACGTTTTTGTCTTGTCCTGCTATAGCGAAAGGCTTCGGGACGAACAAGACGAGTTTGAAACTGAACGCTGATTGGTTGATACCGAATGAAGCTTAACTGTATGCAAATGTACGGGACAGGATTTWAAAAAAATTATTATAAAGATTTTTGCTTTAACTTTCACAGAAATAAATATAAAATATAATGACATTAGATCACCTTACTTGTTTCTAAAATTCCAGAAATTTATTGAAAACGGGGGGAAATGACAAAAATATAGATTCAAAATCGTTTTGAAATGCAATTTATCCTTCATAAATCTTAGCTAAAGGAATCTTCCCGAAGTTTTTTTAACTGAGAACACAGATTTAAACTGAATTCTTTGATTAATTCCCAAAATGAGAAAGTCGATGTCCAGTAACTAAATAAATAAAATAAAAAACTTTTTGAAAGGGTTTTAGGATTTATGTTTTAGAATTATATCGAAAAACTATGGGAATCTGGCCATACTTGGATTCTTGTGCATCAAAGCTTTTTATATGAAAAAAAAGTCCTCGTATTTGGAACGCTGTCAAACAGTGCTTTTTTAATCGAAACTACTCAATAAGTAAGCATTTTAGGGATAAAAATTTAAGAACGAACCCACCTTTGGCTGCTTGGTTCAGAAGATGATTCAACATGGCCGATGTTTGAAGAAGCTATGGTAGCAGAAGTGATGTCCAAACACTGATTCAAAATAACTGGAGTCGTTTTGATGATATCTTGTTTAACTTGACCCTCAGAACACCAAGGCCCGTGGCCATTTGCTATGGGCGAGGTCATTAGGATAGTTATAGTTTTTGAAGTTGACTGACCTATTAATGTTGTATGTGGAAAAGTGGAAGGATAATAGACCCGAGTAGAGGAGCATTAACTATATTGTTACGATTGGTAAATACCTCTTGACCTCTTCCCATTCCTTTAAGGCGGTTTCTGTTCTATCCTCCAATACGTCTTTCGCTATATAAGGAAGCGCTGTTATCCTATTGGCTGGTTGGGCAAAGTCTTGATATGAATAATAAACATGGATAMGTGCGCATGCGCAGTGAGTAGGACATTTTATTTTTATACCTAACTTATAATAAATTATAATTAACTGTATTGTTGCTCGATCTTTTTGGCCCTGTCCGATGTGTTTTGAGCTTTTGTCCACACTAAAACGATCGAAATTAAGCGCTGAGACTTTTCGATACATAACGGAGGACTAGCGTATTACTTAACAGATGGGAAGTCCTCCCGGCTATATTAACTATTCGAAAACGGATAAGAGTGTGAAGGAGCCCATTCATTTTCAGCTCCTTTCTCTAGAATTCAATCTTAATTTAGTCTAAGCTAACGATAACTATTTTTTTCTAAGCTATTTTTCTTTGAATCGAAGAATATTGCCCGGCTAGAAAAATTTGAACGCAAAAAAAAACTTGATAGGATCCGATCTTCAATTTGGTCACCAAATACTCTCGAGGTTTGAAGGAAAAATATGAAAATAAGCTCAGTAATATTTAGCATATATGTACCAGGATGCTTGTGACTTTAGTATAGTGCAAACGGCTTTTGATTGGTTTAGAAGTTTTTATTGTAAAATATATCTCACGACGTTGATATAACAATTATACTCAGTGTCATTTTAGCTACATGAACTCAAATAGCCTATATTTCCATACAATTCGTTTTAAATTTCTGTCTTAAACTACAATTCTTTTTTCTTTAAAAGCGAAAATTTTGTAGGGAATGTTTTAAAGTACGTATTCATCTCTGGAATATTTTTGACAAAGCCGCCAAGATGGTTTGTTCGCGGCTTTGTTTTGGTCTTGGAATTTCTGAGCGTCTGTAATTACTGAATCTGGCTTTGTTTGTTGCCTTGTAATTGGTAAAAAACTGTTCTGAATTTTCCTCTATATCGTGTATGATGTTATTAAAAGTCGAGTATGGAATATTGTCAGTGTTTTCGAGGGTTTTGACTTGAGCTGGGTTGTGTTTTTCTTGTATGCTTTGTTTTACGATATTTGAAACTGAATCTTGACTATTCGACAGATAGTTTTCCATAGTCTCAGTTTTACTTGAACGCCGTGGTCTTTTGATATCTAGCTTACGAGATTTCGTACTTTGCTTTACTTTGCTTCGTTTTTTACGAGACAAGCGACTCGTTCCTTCTTTGTCGTGGGTTTTTGCTTCCATCTCGTTATACAATGTAATCATCGACTTCTTAATCCTACTTTCTTCATTTCCATAGATTTCTGTCTTTTTTTCTCCCTTTTGATCTTTCCCTTCAATTTTCACTTTTTTCAATATTTTATGCAACATGGTATGGAATTCTGCATCGTTGCGAAAGATGGTGTCAGTGTGATTGACAGTCACTTCGTTACCATGGGAATTCTTTTTAGTCATAAAGGTCGGTATTTTACTCATGGCATCACTAATGATTTTTCCATTGGATGGATTTTTCCGCCATGGGCCCCAAAACCCGTCATAATTGGCTGGGTTAGCAGAAGGATCTCGTTCCGGAAACCAAACCGGTCTGGCCTGTTTTTGGATCTGGATTAGCCGCTCTAAGATTTTGCGCACAATGGGTAAGTTGTCCTTGGCGATAGTGTTACGCTCACAAGGGTCTAAAAGAAGAAAAGAATAAAATGTAATGAAAAGGAATTGAAAAATGGGACAGTCATGAAACTGTTACCGTCTCGGAGCACCCTGCACCCTAAAAAGTATGATAGGGGTTCTTAAATCATAGAAAATTTAGCTAGCCTCCCATAAGCCTCTTTCCCTCCGCGGTCTCCAGCTGTGAAAACAATTTCTTTAACGCCATTCTGGCTGAGAGCATGAAAGAAAAAGAAGAAAAAATAATATAATCATTCTTACCTTTTGAAATATCAAACAGGCAAGGAAACTTGGATGTGTTGCACTCCATGTCTTTGAGTTTACTCCGAGCTCCGCAGTTCACCACTGCGCCAGGAAGAGTTTTCGGTTTGTACGCATGCGCATCATCCTGCATGGTAACCACTTCTTGGTATCTTGGATGCCAAGTCTGTTTATACACTGCATCTTGGTTAACAATTAACTTGTAGTTATTGACCCGTATAGCAGCGAATTTACGTACTGGGTCAATATTATGAAGTATTTCAGTCCTTGGGGATGTAATATCTTCAGAGATTGTATCCCACACGTTCATTCCATCTATTTTGTGTTTGATTCGACTGACGTCACCACCTCCTAAGTGGTAAAATGTCGGTAGCCAATCAGTGGCGTCGATCAGTTTGGTGCTTACGCGCGCTTTTTTCTTGATGAGGTTGCTGTGGACAAAACCAACCGCTCTCACCCCTCCCTCCCAGAAGGAGTCTTTGCCTCCTTTCAGAGGATAGTTGCATCCTTGGTTCCTATAAGACGATAAGAAAAACGACCCCAGTTTACTAAGTGAAAGTAGAAGGAGAAGCGTAAAGACCGGTTTAGACGGTACGATTTTCGCCTACAACTATATCGTATACAACATGCTCGCGCCATCCTACAACTCGAGTCGTAGCGTGTAAATCAAGCCTACAACTCGACTACGACAGACGCGAGCGTGTTGTATACGATAGTTGTAGGCGAAAATCGTACCGTCTACGTAAACCGGCCTTAAGAGCAAGGAAAAGACGTACAACATCAACTAATGTTAATGGAAACACCAAAAAAGCTGATATAACACTTCATAATTATAATGATATTGATGATATAAGCTGCAAATGAGAAATTTAGAAATAGAAAGAAATTCTGCTGTAATCGTCCGAAATAGAACTTGAATTAGCAAAGAAATACGAAGAACATATTACGAACGAAGTTGACACGAAAAGGACACGAAGAGAAAACGATAAGGACCCGAACTTGCGAAAATAGTCGTGCTTCATAAATAAAGAATAGCAAGACATTAGGAACTGAACAAAAACAAAACGAAAAAATAAAAATAGAAACTTACCAATTAAATCCTCTCGGTGCCCCACCATTGTCTGTGGTAAACACCAACACAGTGTTGTCCAACATTCTTGTTTTCTTCAAGGCTTCGTAGACTTTACCAACAGATTCATCGAGGGCTGTCACCATGCCTGCGTAAATTCTTCGATCATATTCTTCGATTTTGTTGAATCTCTGACGGGGAAATCCAAACAGAAGGAGTATTAGAGAACATCTCTCATAACCAGACGGTGCGCAATCTTAGATCAGGAAAAATCTTGGGGGGGCACTGAAGATTGTTTTTAACGCTATGTGTAGATGGACTCAAACGGTCTCTTGGTGGATTCRAACAGTAATTTTTCCTTTAATTTACAAGAAGAAAAAGACAATACACAAGGGAACAACACGCGCGTTCCAAAATAGGATCATTATCTTCTGTGGCCGAAATAAAATAAGAAGAATTATTTATTAAACTAACACCATGCGGCACTGATACCTTGACCAGTCTGGCCGGTGCTTGTAGCGGTTCTCTCTCGTTAGCAGAATGTACAGCTTGCTGCGCGAGGTACAAGTAGAGAGGCTTGGACTTGTTGTGGGTGTGAATGACTTGTACCGCGCGTTCTGTGAAGAGTTCTGTCCCGTAATGACCCGACTCATTCTTGACAATCTGAAATCGAATATTTATAGAAATTATGAGTGAATATGACTTATAAAGAAATGTGAAAACACAAAAAGATATACAAATGGCAGGTGGCGTATTCACGAAATCCCATGAAGGGGGAATCTTAATAAATCATTCCTCCCTCATCTTCCCCAAAACACATGCACGATGGAGTGGCATATAGGGACGGGGATGGGGATTCACAGCCACCCTACAACCCCCTTGATACATTACAGCAGTACCACTATGCATATCACTGTTTTTGAAAATCACAGACTCATTTGCAGAGATTTAGTCTCGTTTATAAGTCAGCTATTTACAGTTACCATTAAAGGTCCGTGGGATTTCAAAACATTGGTATTGTTCAAGCTGAACATTCTTTACATTAAAGCCGACTTTCGTAAATCGGATTTGCCTTTAAAGGAGGGTAAGCCTGCGCAGATGAGTCTGTAGTCATAAAACACAGCGGTATTTAGCAGTATTGAGTATTGCGATATATACTCGGTGCTTCAGGACAACTTAAAATTTAAAGTGTCGCGCGTTCAATTCAATCTTCATTATATATTTATAAATATTTTTCTACCCTTTCGTTGTCGCGCAGGTCAAATCCCCAAACATCTTCTTGCGATGAATGGTCCCAGTAATCTTCCTTTCCGTTCCAAAATCCATAGTACGAATCAAAACCACGATATGTAGGCGTGTACTCTTTCTCGAAGAAACCCAGATGCCACTGAAACGAGAAAACAAACATCAAGCTCGTGACTTGGCTATTATATGAGTGGGGAACGTACGGCTACTGACATACAGCAAGCGTGGATAAGATACGTCGTATTACGCGCTGCTAATAATGCCTTAATATGCAACCCGTAAAGTCCTCCACTGGTCATCAATGTAAAGCGCATTGAGACGTTGTATAAATGCGCTATACAAGAACCTCCCATCATTATTATTATTGAAATGGCTTCCATTATGAATGGTTTTCGTATGATTGGGTGAGATATAGTACTGATTTACAGCATGTACGCGGTACAGCAAGCCGCATAACATTGAACTGGCTTACCATAGGAATGATTACCCGTGGGACAGATACGGTGCTGACCGGTGATACAGCACGTACACGGTACTGCATGCTGTAAGATTTACTGCCTTACCATAGGAATGGTTATCCTTGGGGAACATAAGGTACTGACCTACAGCACGAGTATTGATCATAGTAATTGACTCATCGTACCTTTCCAATACCATGTGTCTTGTAACCGAGGGACTTCATGTATTGTGGCGTAGTAGTTTCCCTCAGGGGGAGTCCGTACGGCTGCGTCCCGAATATTGTTGCATGCTGGACTCCTGATATCAAATTGTAAATGTCAGCAGCATTCTTAGTAAATCAGACAATCCACAGTTTGCTAAACCCTTCATCTGTCCATGACCAACCCTACTAATTGCATAAAACAGCGACCAGACGATTCAGTCCAGAGTTGTTGTACCCCCTTTTATCGATGCGGGCGGCAAAGAGCTAAGTAGCGGAAAGAGCTAGACTGTTTTCTTTTATTTCTAACAAAAGGTAGCTTTCCATATGTGTCTTGTAACCGAGGGACTTCATGTACCGTGGCAGAGTAGTTTCCCCCGGGGGAGGCCGTACGGCTGCGTATGTTTGATTTCCAAAACAAATTCATGAAATGCCGTACGCCTGTTTAGCATATCATTTGGGTTAGACGAACTTAGCCATGCAGAAGATTTTCGTGCGTGACGTTGTTACCGGCCTACTTAATTAATCAACGCGTACTAAACCAGTTCTACTTTTACCAGCTTTTTCAGACAAAAGCCATTTGAATTTTCTTTTGCATACGTTTCGGTTCTTTTCTTTTTTTCTTCTTCTTCTTTCCTCCTCTTCTTTTCTCTTCTATCTCCATTCCCTTTTCCCAGCTCATATATTAGCTCAACTGCACAGCATCAGCATTATTAATCCTTCCAAACGCGCAAACTACCAAGAGGAACCCCGTACTATGAATAAAACTGAGCATGCCAATTTTTTTGCCTGTAAAACGGAAGAAAGAAGGGTACAAAGCATACCTAAGGTGACTGGATGTTTCCCAGTCATAAAAGATGCCCTGGTTGGTGTACAGATAGGCGACACATAGTAACTGTTGAGAATGACGCCCTCAACGGCCAGTTTATCGATGTGTGGAGTGGGGATCTGAGACGAACCGTGGAAGCTTACGTCATCCCAGCCCAAGTCGTCAGCGACGATCATGACGATATTAGGTTGAACCTTCTGTTTCTTGGCAGCGATCATTGCCATAAGCAGGCTAGCCAAAAGGAAGTAAMATAATCTGCGCACAGAAAGAAAAATTTAGATAAAACCTGAATTCAATTATTTTTTTCATCATGTGATTATTTTCTGCGTCGACGAATTGAGTGGAATCGATATCGCGCAACTATCACGCGTCAGTTTGCGCACATTCCCTGTCATTATTTGTCTTTTGACTCACGCTTCAAGTTGACCTAGGACGTGAACTTGCACTGATATATTTAAAAAATACTTCAAATTTTAGATATTTTAATCTTCCTTTAAAAGTTAGCGTAAATATTCACTCAAGACTCGGAACTGAACCAATTCGACCTGTCGCTGACGTGAGTGATTTTCAAGTAACGTTCATTGACATTGCGCGCGGTCAAGAACATATCCGAATTGCAAGACCAGTTAATAATTCAAAAGGTCAGTATTTGTAATCTCTGTCCTTGCTTTTAAGACTTGCACATGAAACAATTATTTCCGGGCCTTTCCGATCCTATATTCTTACAGATTCCTGGACGAATTTCTTAACCTTTCAACCTTATAAAAAGCGAAAATGAAAAGTGATTCTTCAGTGTTTCAAACAAAAACTGGTAACCGTTTGACATTATGTCCGGTTCAGTAATTAACTGAATATCGTCCCATTATCTGCGAAATGACCCGGAGAGGCATGCGCACGAATATGATTTTTTTTTGTCTCAATTTTAGCTCATTTTAAAATCACATCCAAGAAAAATGACAATTCGAAGGCTGCATTTCATCTAGTTGGTCCTTCTTTGTTATTTTTTCTAAACAATAAGTTTTTAAAGTGTAGCCTCAAAATTTCTGAAATCGAGGATAAATACTACGTACCTGACTCTTATGTTCATCTCTTTTTGATCGGTTAAAAAAATATTTCAAGTCCAAACAAGTTAAGCTGTTCCACTGATCAAATATCCCATTAGCAGCGTAGATAAGCGCTTTTGAGGTCTATCTATTAGCAGGATCCTGGCCTTTGATTCACTGGTGAGATTGAAAATCTTCTTTTAAATATTTGATGAACCTCGTGAGAATGCTAGTGAAATGCCAGTGGAACGATGACAGGTTATTTTAAAGGCCAAAAATATATTTTACTTTCCGCTCAAAAAGGTGGGGATTCCATTTCCTTTGAAGTCTAATTAATTTATCATGCTATTGCCTCGTTAGTATTTCACTCAGGGGCCATAAAGAGATAGCTGCCAGTTAGGAAACTCGATCTAAGCGTAGCTTTTGTTTTTGTTGAGCTTTTCATTTGTAAAAGAATATTTTGTTTGGACAACTGCAGTTATAACATCACCACCAGGAATAACCTCAAAACATGAGGCAACGTAACATAAATAAAGCCATTCGCTTACTTTCTTTTATACATAATTCTAAATGCGGTAGCAAAGACAAAAAAAATCATCGCCTTAGAGTAAAATAAATGATTAAAGTCAAATTACCACTGCTTAGAAAAAGTAGGAAAAGTAATATTTAGAACATCTTCTATCCATAAGCATGTATYAATGAACATACAAGAAACGCATGGAATACGAGAATTAGGAAAAGTGGAAAGTCGGGAAAAAATTAAAATAACTTATAAAAATTTGGGTCTCGGTTTTCTCGCGATCCAGCTCGACCAAAGGTAGACCAACAACTATCCCGGCCTCGCACCATAAAAAGAAACATAATGAGAAAGACCAGTTACAATAAATTTATGGGCTGACACTATAATAAGTGTCAAGTCATTTACTTTTTAAGTTATTTTCGATTAGAAATTTCGTTTTCATTTCGTAAAATTCGTAGCAGATGAATCCGGAAGCGGCTGTTCCCGGGATACGAAAGAGTGCGCGCGTCTCGAGCTGTGATTGGCTGTTGACAGGGTAATGTTGTACATAATGCATAAGGCCTTGCAGTTTGAATAGCGGCGGGCTTTCCTTCTTCTACACCATGTTCTGAAAAACCTCCTTTCCTTCACCTTCTCGGGTAGTTTTAGAACTCTTTCTTCTTTCCCTAGCTAGTACGAGACCTCTGAGATCTTCTGTGACCGTATTTGACTCGAATTCTTAGTTTAGTAATAAGTTTTGTTCCCCGTAAAGAAAGCCAAACGAATTTGAACTTCATCTAACATGGCCGCGTTTCGACAAAGAGCAGAGAGTTTCACTCTCGAGTTCCCGAATTCTCCTATGGATGCTGTTCCTAGCGCTGTTCTTTCGCCAATTACAGAGCTCTCCATGAATCTTGAACACAATTCAATCAGGTTTGTTTTGAATTTAACTGAAAACCTTTAGCTCAAAGAGTTTTAAAGCTAACAGTTCCTTATCGTTTGATGAAGTGCTTTATCAGCTTCTTATGTTATTAATTTTTGTTTCCACAGCATGGGTAGAACTCCTAAAAGAAAGCTCTCACTTTGTAACCTTGGAACGCCAAGCACACCGAATCCATCTCCTTGTTTTCTACGAACACTGTCCAACGAATCTGGTATGAAGTCAAGCGTGGTCTTTGAACGTTGTTGTTGTGGAGGGAAAGTCAACTCGAGTTTGGTTACATATTAAAAATAAATCTAACAATTTTTCTTCTTTTACGAATCTTTCAGGTTACTGCCCTTCATCTCCAGGTTGGCCTGGCTGTGAATCACCAACATTAGAAATTTTGAAGTGAGTTAATTTAAAGCAAGTTAGAAAAATTACAGTAAGCTTAATTCTGATGTAAAGCATATTTGGATTTCGTTTTGCCGACCTTTCCGCATTCTCATTGCCTTGACCTTCGTCTTCTTGACTTTCGCTTTCAAAATCCTTTATTCCTACGAATGCATTCTTAGCAATAATATTATCCTTATGGACCATAGTGAAATCTTTCGCTGAAAATCGGCATATTTTTGAAGAGAGTTTTGAGTTGGGTTGATTTTGTGTAAGAGTAGTTTGTTAAAGATTCTTACTAAGGATGTCCTCGACGTTTATACATGTAAAGCTTATTATTTCATCGAGTTCTATGTGAAATACGAATCCCGTCTAGTAAATTAAATGTTGAAAATTCTTTTGTATTTTTTTTATACTTCTAAAATATGCTCTATTGCAGAAATAATAGTTTTGTGATTTTACTTGTTCTTTTTATCAGGACGACGACAGAGCGCAAAAAATCGTTCCATTTGAAGTAAGTCACGAAATCTCTTTATATCTTTTTATCTCCTTTTTTACCGGTAAGGGACATTGTTCCCCCATAGTAACTAAGGAACGGAATACTTTATAATGCATATGTTTGAATTTCGCGCTTGAGAATAAACAATGTGGATAAGACAATACCGATAGGAGCGTGGGAGGTGCTATATTGTTTGTTAGGAAGTGAGCAGGTGTGTACTGCAACTCAAGTGCACACCAAATGTCTGACTTTTATAATGAATTACCATTTTTTTAGCCATGTGTTGAATTAAAAAAAACTCCACATGTTTCTTTGAAATTTAAATTTTAAAGGAATTTCTTTGTTCAAAAGAAGCGCTTCCTTTCCTAAAACAGTCACAGTTCTTAACTTCTTTCTTAATATACTTCTTTTTAGTCGACCATGTTTTCAGAGATGGAACTCCTCTCCCGTAAGTTATTATTCTCTTCTCAATGTCATTAATGCAGAAACTGTGCACTTTTATAATACAGAACTGGATGAAAAAATGAATGTAAAGATGTCCCAGGACTCACTGAGCTCATGTTCAGAAGCAACTCAAAAATTTGCTTTTAAAACTTGGCCAGACATACATGTATTTTGATTATAAACCAAGGCACCTCTAACCATTGGGGTGGAGGGTTTGATCCTTGGGCTCAACATCAATGATAACTCTTAAAACTCCAGTATCTAGTGTATATATGTGGGCTTAGCCTCACTTCTGAAGTCRGCAAACAAAAGCAGAAATTAAAATAACAAAACAAGCAACTCCTGAATTATTGAGGCTAAGCCTGCATACCTTGGAGTTTTGAGTCGTTGGTATATGTGAGCAAAGTTGCCTGTTGATTTTCTTCTGTTCCTTGAAGGGTTGTCTCCAGGGTTTCCAGGTTTAAAGTGCTACCCTCAAAACAAATGATTATGATTTTCAATATTTTCTTAGGCTATTGTCCTGACTTTAACCTCTCAACCATTTCAGGCTGGCACAGAAAATGATCATATCAGCAATAAAGAAAATCTTCCCATCAATACAGACGAGTCATACAATCAAGAGCCTGGCTCCTGTGAAAAGAGCAAAGAGGAATTTGTGTTCACTAGACCAAGGGTACCATCATTTGTTAGAAGGTTTTCTGTGCCTAACAGAAATGGAAGACCCTGTCCTCAGCGCTCCTTTTCAGATCCAACATCAGAGGTATGAAGAAGTCAATTTTCAAAAGATTGTCATTCAAGATGAGACATGTGTCTGTGGTTGATAGGTGTTGGGGCTATTACAGTGCACTTCAGAAACAGTCTTTTTGATTGAAGAACATTCAGGACAATATGGATGTGTTAGGATAGGATCTCTGATGGGTATAGACACACAACAGGCTAGAATAATAATGACGAAGATATTGGACTGCATGAAGCCTGCGTGCAGCCGAACTAACTGTTTAGTCCGTACGAGAGAAAAGTTCGGCTGCACATAGGCTAGGCTGCATTTGACCATGTGATTGCTGGAGACAAGTTGCCCTACCCTATCCAGACATAAGCACCTTAAGGGAGCAAGATGACAATAACACTCAAATTAATCTGTAGTTTGTTTTTTAAAATTTTTTCATCAACAGACAATTGATTTTCCAATGGAACTTCTATCACCTTCCAAGTCTAATGACAGCCAAGATAGTGCCTGTTATGTTGATTATGAGGGAGATGATGGTTTTATCGATGATCTAGTTGACCAAGACGATGGAAAGGTGAGTTCAAACTTATTGGGCTTACTGTGGATTTTATAACACAGGAAGACCATAAATCAAGAGTTTTCCTTTTTATTTACTCTGACTTCACATTGATTATAGGATGACAATGCAAGTATGCCGTCTGGAATGGCAGACCTTTTGAGTGCTCCATTTGTTCCAGAAAAGGTGAGATTACTAGAACTTTATTGACAATCTTGACAATTCATGTTATTTACCTTATTGATCTTCAAATCTTTTTTTTTTTTTTTCAAATGTAGGACATTTTTCATATCTTATTGATTTTATTCCTCTAGAATTCTCCAGAACTAAGTGATTGTAATAGTATAATAAATAAATTGGACACACCCAAGGTAAGATATCACTTAGTAACCATAGTAACAGGTTTGTTTGTTAGAGTTAATAGCAGTAAAGTGTTAAAGGGGGTTACAATAAATATGGCAACCTTGCAACATTTTCCTAGTCTCATGGCTAAAAATAAATGCCATTGAATTCAGAATTTCTGGCCAAAATCTGGTTCTTTTGACTGGTCACATTGTCTGAGCAGTCTGTTGTGGCCAGTCAGCATGTACAAACATATACCATTGTTTTTAGCTATAATTGTTGCACTTTATTTCAGCTTTTCTATTATTCTTTTCAGCAATTGTCTTTCAACTCAGATGTCCGTCCCAGAGATTTATTCAACATAGCAAAAGATAAGGGCAGGCATTGTTCAAGTACCCTCCTTGGGTCTGACATTGAAAAGGGTGCTTTAAGACCAAGATCAAAGTCATTTGCTCTCAAGGTACAGTCATATTTAGCTTGCATAGTAGCGTAGAGAGCTGTTGGGGTGGACAAGGAAAGGAAAGGGAAGGGCAGGAAAATGTGGAAGGGTTTCCTTCTTGCATATAGTGATAAATTAATGACTGTTTATCTTTTTGTTCTACAGAGACCAAACCCACCTCGAGATGCTAATCCCATGGAAAAGAAAAGATTAAGGTATAATTAAAATTCATTGCACATATATCTTGGATATATCTTAGTTACTGATTGTCTTTTTTGAATTATGGCAGGCAACGTTGTATGTCTTTGGTAGAAAACAATGGAATGTTTCCATCACCTCTACTGGTAATGTATTGCTCATTCTTATAAGCTTTGTTTATTGGATAACGTCTTTTATTTACTTTATGTTATTCTTTACTTTACTAGAATAACCGGCCATCATTTAAGCACAGCCCACTAAAGAAATCAAAGTCAGAAGTATTTGAAAACAGACCGGACTTGTCATTAGGAAACTTTCTGGGTATGTATGAGTTTATATAATGCGATTTTATAAGAAAAAGAATTTTTTCAATATTATTTGAGAATGCGATTTTTCACGATTAATAACCTGTTTCAAAATTCTATTCAATTGTTTTTTTTCAGGCACAAACAAAAATATGGTTGGAGATTTCACCAGGGTAAATTATTAAAGTTATTTGTTTATATGTTCTAATAATTCAATTTTTCTTACATTTTATAGTTTTTGACACATTTTATTCTAACAATAAACAAATATATTTGTTATCTGTAGCCATACACCCTACCTACTTTACCAATTGGGCAACATCAAGACTTGAAGAGCATCACTCCAGAGACTGTAAGTACTTTAAGGAGATCAAAGGTATAGGTGGTAGTACATCACACATAGAGTTAGCTGAGCCCTTGATTTGAGGGCTTTCTTTGAAGGTTCTCAAGTTTTCCTTGCTTGATTCAATTGAAGACTTACAGCTGTACCCTGACTTTTATCATTAATATAGGTAAATGTGCCTTTTTATTTGATTTGAAAGAGTGATATGAATTCAAAAGAGCAGTAGGAAGGAAAGAATTGAAACTTTCTCTTTTGTACTAATGAAATCTTAAAAAAAATTTTTTTTTTTTTGCCATTCAAGGTTGCAAGAGTTATAAGTGGAGAATTTGAAGATATAGAAGCTCATATTATTGATTGCCGTTATCCCTTTGAATATAAGGGTGGCCACATTAAGGTTAGTATACTTCAATCCCATAACGAATCATGCATTTGGTGACACTTTTTTCTATCATACCCAGCCATATATGATAGAGTAAGATTAGCTCACAACAAAATGTCCTGGCTTCTTGTTTTGTAGGGTGCTATCAACATTTACAGAAAGGAAGATATGTTTGAAGAATTCTTAAAGAAACCTAAGCATTCTGGTAGCAAGAAGGTTATCCTGATCTTTCATTGTGAATTCTCTTCTAAAAGAGGACCAGACATGTAAGTAAGCACAACCGTGACCCTCATATTATAAAGGTTACCATATTTTGCTCTATCTAGGCTATTTGCATAACAGTGTATAGGATGAAAGGGTAACACAGTGTTGGCAACACTCACATTTCAATAGGTTTGATTCCCAAGCTTTAATTTAAATGTTGGTAAAATTGCTTATGGGTTCTCTCCTATGCTTCACTGGTATTTGGTTTCTCCAGTTATCCTTCTACCGTATAAATCAACAACTAAAACTATGCAGTACCTTTTTATCAGTTTATTAGTGACAATGCTTAATACTCTTCCTGTTGAGCAAAAACAAAATAGTGAAATAAAATTTGCAAAGCATTCTTGACTGAGTTATCAACTTTTGATGGTAAGATTCCTAGTTTGAGTAGCATTGACAATGTGACTTTTTCTGTGATTAGGTCAAGATTCTTACGTAACCGTGATAGAGATATTCATGGTAAAGACTACCCAGCACTATATTATCCAGAATTATACCTAATAGAAGGAGGATACAAGGCTTTTTTCAACAATCAAAAGGTAAATCTATCATTTACTGTATTAAATAAGATTAATAGGATTCTAATTCCAATAATTTACTGTGCTAAGTGCTGTACCGTGAAAACTTCGACAAGATTTGACAATTTGAATTGTCTTCATTATTGCTTACGTATTAGGTATCAGCACTTCGCTTTGATGTTTTGATAGGCAGGTTTATACATCAATGTAACAATGCTGTGCATTTTAAATGTTCAAATTTAGCATATCAAAGTGCCGATACCTTAATAGGTTAGCAGTAGAGCTCACAATTCACAGCTATGAAAAAGATTTCAAAAAGGAATTACATGTAAAGAATTTGGAAGTGTTCATGTTATGACACAGCACAGTAACAAACTATTTAGAATGTTCAGAATCAATATCTCCTAAACAAATTATCTCAGCCAATCAGAGGAGAGATATAATAACATTTAATTTTTCTGTCATACCTTTTCAACAGGAATACTGTGATCCACAAGAGTATGTTTTAATGCTTGATGAAAACCACAGTGAGGACCTAAAGTTATTTAGCAAGAGATCTAAATCCTGGTCAGGGGTACATGGAAAGAAAGGCTTTCGTCCTGGCTTGAATTACAGATGAATAAACAGCACATCCTTCTTTACAGTAATTTACATCATACATGACCAGTAAAATAGACATTTGAGAGACAAATTAATAAAATTCATTTAAAAAAAGAAACTTTTAGGGATATTTTGCTTTAATTTTTTGTGACTTTGTTTATTAATGTTTTTTCCTGAATAATAAAGATTGGAATACCTTTTAAAAAATGTCTAATTTACTGGTTATATATGATAGGCTTTATTTCTATCTTTTCTGGGGCTTATCTTCATTCTATGACTCTTAATTTATTTGCATTGCAACATTTTCATATTATACAATCCTTTCTTTTGATTGTTTCCATGACAATGAAACATCAAGAAACGCACAATGTGGAAAACATTCTCACATTAATATTTGTTAAATCATATCAGGATGTCCACTTGATTCACTGGAAAAATTGGTTCTTCTACTGAGTATTATACTTCTACAACATCTTGTAATATAAATTCAAACTTTACTACAGCAATTATAGCACTTGTTACATTACACCCATTCAATGATGTAACACAATTTGTGATTTTTAGAATTATTATTAATCAATACTATCATTTAATGTAAAGAAAGCTGTGCTTTTTTCTCCTTTTTTTTGTATTGACCTTTTGTTTGATTGTAACAATTCTTCCCAATTATTTGAAGTACATTTCTTATAATTGAAGAGGCTGGCTTCTCTTCTCATATGTATTAACAACTTAACAAAGAAATAATTTTTTTAAAGAGAGGCTAGTGGCTTCTAATATGTGCTTGGGGAGATGTTTATGAAGAAAGAAAGAGTTTTCTTTATTTTTCATTAATTATATACAAATAAAATCAATGCTATTTCCAACAGAATTTATCAAATTATATTATGATTAAAATATTGAAACAAAAGGTCCATACACTTATATAAATGCACCAACAAATAACTCCAATCATAATGCTTAGTACATAAAGAAGTAGTTGCATTAGAGTGGTTTTCATAAACCTGTGAAATACACTTTAGCTTATTTAATACTGTTACACTCTAATTCTTTTGTTCTCTAATGTGTTTATCTATTACACTCTAATTAGTACAGTAATGATGAAAAGATAAATTATACACCGTGAAAAGATGAAAAAACTACTGATGTTTCAGACGCTAGTCCTTCGTTGGAGTACCACCTCTTTCTCTTTTACTCCGATGAAGGACTAGCGTCCGAAACGTCAGTAAGTTTTTTCATCTTTTCACGGTGTATAATTTACCTTTTCATCATTACTGTTTAATACATACACCTTTGAGTGTCGAAAAGGAAATGATAAAAAAGCTTAATAGACCTAAAAGATGGTCTGATAGACAGTCGTCGATGG